TCTATGCTTTACATTTAGCAGGAAGGTCCACTAATGACTGAAAAGTGCAGTTTGCTCCCCCCCCCCCCCCGCCATTTTCGTGTTCTCAGGTGTCAAGCTAGCTCTTCTGTGGTCTCACACTGACATAGTGCTACAGCAACACATCCTGTTGAATCCCCTCGGGGCTTTCATTTAACCATGTCGCCTGGCATTCACCATAGCTGGCACAGGTTTGGACACCTCGTGAGGGAGATGCCTTGGCCTTGGCCTTTCGATGGGATTTTATTATAGGCTGTGGTCTTGCACTCATGGGAAGTTGCTCACTTGCACTTTAAGGACCAAAAAGCTAATTGCAGCCTGGATACACTTGCCCAATTCAAACTGAGTCCAATTTGAATTTATCTTGCCCCATGGTTCTCAACTCTTCAAACCAATCTGTTAAAAGAAAACCATTCTTAACAAGGGCAGTTGTCCAAATAAGTCAATTTAAATCTATAAGGGATCATTCCTGCTAAACCAAAGCATATGCACCTTCATGTATCTTATCAGCTTCTCTTTGGTAAAGCGAGTTTTAGCACATTTTAAAATGGGTAGGGAAGTTGGCAGAGTGCCAGGTGGAACAATGAAATGTGGTTATAAATTTATCTAATTCTAAACATTGGACTACATAATAGCCTGACCTGTTAAAAGCATAAAATGTATGAGAATCCTCCACTGGGGTGTAAGGAATAAGACATTAAACATAAAACAGTTAAACAAAAAAAATGCCCCCCTTTGTGGAAATCACACTGTCAGACACATTTCAACATTCTTACATAATAACACATAATACAAAACAAACTAATTAAATATCAGTTGCATATCTTGACACAATTGTGACTTTTACGCATGTATCTTTTGAATCCTGGAGCACAGAGGCTTGAGTTTCAAAAGTGAGAAAATGTCCTTGTAATTCAACTCCTCCCCCCTTTGTCAGCCCCACTCCCCCATCAGTCTATATCCTTTGAAAGAGATAGCTGTGGCCACTTTGAAAACTTTGGTGTCTGTTGTTGCAGGTCTTGTGGTGGCGAAGCTTTTCATTGGATCTGTAGTAACACATCTGTAGAAGTGATATCCTGTAAGGGACAGGGTTTTGAGGGCTTGAAAGACAGTTAGAAAAAGTAAGGAGCAAAAGGCAAAAAGGATGTCTTTCAATTTACGTGGGAAGCTGCAAATAATAAAAATCTTAGCGGATTAAGCATTTCATTCATTCCAATATTATTATCATCACATTTTCATATAATTACTGTTATTATCTGCCCAGTTTGTTTGCTTTCCTTCACTTAGTTTGGCTGTGGAAGAAACGAAGGGACAAAACCTTTGTTAATTTGAACACAATTGGCAAGTTATTAAACATTTTGCTTATGTGGGTCCGAGTTCACGTATCCTGTTTTAAAGGGAAAATTATTTCATGTGAGAAGCCTGTCAGGAAATGCTGTTCCTAAAATTCCCATTGAGGGGGGAATGCTTTGATATTTACCTGTGAAAAGAATTTGGCATGTTAAGATTTGGAACCTGGAAAGCTCTTGACTTTTGATGGGCTAGTTTTTTAACCCTTTTGTCTTACGTAGCCCCTGGAGCAAAGACATATTAAGGGTGATTTCCCTCAATGGTTCCAAGTTTTACATAAGGAAATTTGGATACGTTTCTCTCTGCAGTTCTCAAAGAAAACCTCTCCCCCCTTACAGTTCCCCCCTTCCTCTCTCCCTCTCTCTCTCTCTCTTTAGCTGATCTAGCCTCTGTGCATGTGCAGAGTGATTGTGTCTCAGCAAACCTTTTATACTATTGAAAATGTTGCATCCTTTGGCTAAACTACTATTTGAGTAAGGGAAGGGAAGGGTAAGGAGTAGATTTTGAAAATAGGGTTTGATTTTAAACAAAAAAGAGAAACTCAGCAATTTAAGTATTCACCAAAACTAGCAATTTCAGCCCAAGCAAAAGAGACTGCTTCCTTTATGTACAGGAAAGGGCTAATATCCCTCTGGCCATTCGCGGAACAATGCCACGCTTTTTTCAACATTCTCAGTCATTTCATTTTTTATTTATTTTTTTTAAAGCAATTTATTGGGTTTTACAATAAAAATAAACATAATAAACAATATAACATTTATCTTAACATATTTTCACATTTTCTTTGGACTTCCTCACATCTCCCGCTCCCACTTTCATCGTTGTAACATTTTGTCAGCAATTTATCATCTTATTTTAATTCTTATATCCCTTCTATATTTCATAATCTTATAATTCTCGAAAGGAGCTAAATTTTCACAGTCTTACTTATTTTCTTAAAAACTTCTAAATTTAGTGGTGCTCAGTTATTTTAATCTAGCATCTTATTTAGCATTCACTCAAATTACAATACTTTTGTAAATAGTTCTTAAATTTCTTCCAGTCCTCCTCAATCCTCTCTTCTCCCAGGTCACGGATTCTGCCGGTCATTTCAGCCAGTTCCATGTAGTCTATCAGTTGTATCTGCCATTCTTCCAGTGTGGGTAGATCTTGAGTTTTCCAATGTTTGGCGAGAAGTATCCTTGCTGCTGTTGTTGCATACATCATTCTCAGTCATTTCAACCTTACCATTTGCAGACAAATTTTTTTTTTTTTCCCCTGCCCTTTATTTACAGGATTGGTCAAGGCTAATTCTACTTGATTATTCATTTGTATGTGCTTAAACTTTGAGTAGACTTTTAAGTCTGATTTTTGTAAATAATAGACAAAATGATAAACACTGTAATCACTTAAATGCCTGATATCACCAGTTCTGCTTCAAACATCACGGCTTCACCTCGCACCTTTTAAAAACAAAGAGCAAATCTGGGCTGAATTTCAACACAGCAGCTACAAATTGGGAAAGTTGAAAGGGACCTGGGGTCACCTAGTCCAACCCTAAAATACAGGGTTCATAGCAAGATTTGTACTACCAGAAACACACACATACTTATGTACACAGACACAACTGGGGAAGAGATCACAAGCCATGCGCCTATCATGTACTAAGGAAGAGGAAAATAAAAGTACCCAACTTTATACAGAACCTTTTTTTAGCAGATCTTGAAGCTAGTTTGAGTGAGAGTTTTCTTCCTTAGACTAAGGAGTGCAAGTTCCTAGAGAAATTATCTTTAAAGGAAGATTGAAGTGAACATTTTTTTCCTAAGATAGGGAGAGGATCCTTTATAAAGCAAAGTTAATTCAATTGATATAACCACTCACAAATAATTAAAACAGCCATAGATTTGATTTAAAAGGAGTACAAAAGTGAACAATTTTTCCTGAACTTGCAGAGGAATAGTAAGCCTAATCTATGCCCCCCCCTTTGCAGTTTCCTTTAAAGGAAGCTTACTCGGGAGTAAATTTACTTGGCACAGAAGTAAGGAGGAGAAGGGGGAAAAAAAACCTGAAAGAGACAGAATGAAACAAGGGGGGGGCATTTTCTAAGAAAAGAGGCCAGGACGTCTTATAGAGACTGATATCAGGAGCCTTACAATAACTCTTCTGTCCAACCAAATCAAAGTTAAAACTGGACTCACATATTTTTCTTAGAAGGAACACCATACTTTCATAGGCATATGCTTAATGAAATACATACACTGCATTTTAGCTTGAGAGAGCAGTTGGCTCAACTAGGCTTTTGCAGCAGAAACATTAGGTTAACTTCACCTTCCAAAATAGACTGGAACACAGGTGTACTCACAAACTCAAAAGTTACAACAAAACATCATTTACCATTAGACTTAAAATCACCCTCCTCACTTAAATTGGAGGAAGGAGGTGGGGTAGTCCCCCTTTCAGAACACAAGTAGCACGTATACAGGATTTTACCACTTGGGAGGAAAACTCTCTTTTAGAGCCTCTCTCAAATAACAAACATTTGCACACTCCATTCTCCATTTTGTTTTGTTTAAGATTAATAAGTTGCAACATGGCTTCCTTAGCTTTAAAATTTTGAAGCAAGCTTGCAATTTAAAACTATGTGCATTTAAGAACAGTCTGTGGATGCCGAGGCCAATGTAAATACAAACCCTTGAAATATTTCTAAATCTTTGAGTACATCTCTTATTCGTTTTTTTTTTTGTTTGTTTGTTTGTTTTTAAGAGAAACTAAGATCTCTAATGCGTGGGCTCTCAGGCTGGGCTGTATCTACTGCCTTCTGAGCACCATTAAGTTTACAGTTTCATGTTCCAGCTCTAGGCTACAGTTTAACAACACAAACTTAACCATTTTTTTTTTTGCCCCTTTATTTTATTTCTATTTTTCTCTAATTGGAGATGACAAGCTGGAGGGGCATATTGGAATCCTCTCTGGGGCAAAAAGCTTCATGGAAGCTTTGTTGCCAGGAGGAGTCCAGCTAGGGTGTTTAGTGAGCTCCCATTCTCTCATATGTTATTATTGGGCTTTTTTTTTTTTTTTCCATTAACGAAGTACGCTAAAGACAGAAAGAGTGGGAACACACACACAAGGGAGGAGGGGCAATGGGAAAGAAAGGGGGGACAGATAAAAGATCCTTTCAGTACTCAAAGTACCCTTGACTAACACAATTCCTACTTATCTATAAACCACGAATTAATTTCTGGAAATCTCAAACCTGAACCTGAAACAAAACCACGGGTCTCTCTGCCCGGAAACTCAAACCACGGGTCCCTCTGCCCGGAAACTCAAACCACGGGTCCCTCTGCCCGGAATTCCTTTACCTCAGCGCTGTTTACAAGACTAATCCTAGTGTGGGGCCCCACTTCGTGAACCGCCCCTTCTACCCTCCACAACAGCCTCCTGCCTAGCCTTTGAGACTAAGTTTGGGCTCCCTACTGGACGCCTGCGCTGTGCAGTGCCAGATCGGGGGTCCGAGAAAACAAAGTTTTGAAAGGGGAGCAAACGACCTTGCGTTCTCACATACCCGGGTCATCCCTAGCAAAGGTCGCCAGGCAGGAGGGGTGGCTTCATTTGCATAATTAGACGAGAAAAGAGAGAGAGAGAGAAATGTTTGGATGGACGCCTCTGGACGACTCCGAGAGAGGAACGTCAGAGAAAAAACAATAAAGGGCCACGCTTCCCCAGACTCAATTCCAAGACGGGAAACGGGGGAGAAAAGGACAGATAGATTAAGGCGTACCCGGACGACTCCGAGGGGTAACGCCGGAAAACAGCAAGAGTACCACAATTTCCCCGGACACGCTCCGCGTAAGAAATTGAGGGGAGAGACAGAGAAAGGTTTTGACGTTCCTAGACGACTCCGAGGGGTAACGCCAGACAGTAAAGCTCCGCGATTTCCCTGGCCACTTTCCGAAAGGGGAGAATCGGGGTAGAAAAGGACAGAATTTAAACGTACCCGGGCGACTCCGAGGGGTAACGTCAGAAATGAAAGAAGGAAAGTCTGGCTGTCGTGAAGATGTTCCTTTTCCACCCCCCTCCCAATGTATTTACTTCAAACCATACTCACGTTCGAAGATGTCCCCTGCGGATCTCAGGATCCTTTCCCCTTAGCCGGCTTGACCTCGCCTTTGCTTCCCCTGGTTGGGCTTTTGGTGACGATTGATTACCGCCCGCAAAGAGGAGGCAGGGAGAGGAAGAAGGATCTCTGGGCTAAGGTTGCCCAGTGGCGCCTGATCCCCTCTATCTCCCTCCTCACCTCTGCAGGAGAACCAAGTGTCCCTGAGAATGGTCGCCAACTGTTAACGGAAAAATCTGAGGGCTCCCTTGGACAAAAAGTAAAGACACCAACCAGAGTAAATTGAAGCAAATCAGCAGCCTGTAGGCTTGGTCTTTATTGAAGAAAGACTGTCGCGACAGGGTGCTCCCCTCACTTGCAGGTGAGAGGAAAGACCCAGAAAGATGGTGTGCCAGACCTTATAAAAACTTTTGAAATTCCCATCCTCCAGGTCAAGCCCACCCCCAGAAACATCATGCATACATTACAGAAAGGGTTGACATCATGCATACATTACAGAAAGGAGGGGTTGAGGGAGGAGTTGTGGTGGTAACCTGAGTGTCCTGGAGTGTCTTCCAGGAGACAAAGGGGAGTTTGCAGTTTCCTGCCCCCAGAGGGAAGATCTGATTATTGTCCTTTGTTCCAGTCCGTGCTGAATCCACTATCATATGCAAGTTCTTTGTCATTTTGATTGTCTTCTGTCTGGGATTATCAAGGCTGACATAGCAACTGGGCAGGGCTCCTGTGGATGTGCTGGTATGCTGAAGGGATTATGGCTGACCAGAACCAAGCCACCCCCCTTTGATAGTCCTTGTCACATGGAGTAAAATAAAAATGGAACAGTGCAAATCCAATGTATGGTTGATTTTCTATGAATTTGTAACAGAAATGGGGCGTATGTAGTGTGTGAGTGTGAGTGTGTGTGAAGTTTGTGCAAACAGAATGATTGGGGTGGGGGGTTCCTGCTACAACAGAAATCACGCAGCAGCAGCGTGGTGGCGGGTGGTCACATTAGCTAAAGTGGTGCTTCAGGTTAAGAACAGTTTCACGTTAAGAACGGACCTCCAGAGCAATTAAGTATTTAACCCAAGGTACCACTGTAATTTAAATTTAGTATCTATACCCCAGCAGAAGAACCCTTTCTTCCCATTCCCGCCCCCGCTGCCCAGGATTTCGGGTGAGTGCAAAGCCAATGGCGGGGAAGGAGGGAAGGGGCTTTGCGAGGGGGTCCAGGATGAGAAGCCCCAGGACGGGGAGGGGCGGCCCTGCACAAGAGTGGGGGGAGGTTGTGCTGGGGAAAGAGAGAGAAGCTTCCTCCTGCATGGATCTGGTGCAAAGGGAGTTGCAGGGAAGGAGGCGGGAGAGGGGAGAGGGATGGGCATTGCTGGCCAGGATCGCCTTAATAGTATTAATTTAAATTTAATATCTATACCCCGCAGAAGGAGGACCTTATCTTTAGGCAACAGGGGAAAGCCTTGCTCTTCTCCCAGGGGTTTGGCTTATTAAACAATCTATGGACTTCACAACTGAGTTGGGGGGGTGTTGTTTTTATTTCTTACTCTGCTATGCATCTCTGTGTTTTCTCTTGGGTAAGGTAATTGAGAGAGCGGTTGCCGAACAGCTTGGTTGGTTTCTGGAGGAAACATCGGCTTTAGATCCATTTCAGTCCGGTCTCCGTCCTGGTTTTGGGACCGAGATGGCTCTGGTTGCCCTAACAGATGATCTCCGTAGACAACTGGATCGAGGCGGGTCAGGACTGGCGATCCTTATAGATTTGTCAGCAGCCTTTGACATGGTCGATCATTATCTTCTGGACCACCGCCTCGCAGACGTGGGGATACAGGGCATAGCCCGTAACTGGCTGTGTTCTTTTATCTCTGGTGGGGGACAGAGGGTGGCACTAGGGAGGTAAATGTCATTGCGCCACTCCTTGGTGTGTGGAGTGCCACAGGGCACAATTCTCTCCCCGATGCTTTTTAACATCTTTATGCGCCCCCTTGCCCACATTATCCAGAGCTTTGGGCTGGGTTGTCACCAGTATGCCGATGACACTCAGCTCTATCTGCTGATGGATGGCCACACCGACTCAGCCCCGAACACACTGACCAGATGCTTGGAAGCTGTGGCTGGATGGTTTCGTGGGAGCCGATTGAAACTAAATTCTTCGAAGACAGAGGTCCTATGGCTGGGTCGGGATGGCATGGGGATGAGGGACCAACTCCCTTCTCTTGCGGGGCCCAATTAGTGCCATTGCCTTCCGTTAAGAGTTTGGGTGTAATCCTTGACGCCTCCCTTTCCATGGGGCGCAAGTTACAGCAACAGCCAAGGCGACATTTTTCCACCTTCGCCGCATCAAGCAGTTGGTCCCTTACCTTTCCCGCCCGACCTGGCCACAGTGATCCATGTGACAGTCATCTCCAGGCTTGACTACTGTAATTCGCTCTACGCGGGGCTGCTCTTGAAGCTGTCCCAGAAACTCCAGCGGGTGCAGAATGCTGCAGCAAGGCTCCTCACGGGGTCTCTGCCATGGGAGCATATTCACCCAGTGCTTTTCCAGCTGCACTGGCTCCCAGTGGAGTACAGGGTCAGATTTAAGGTGCTGCTTTTGACCTTTAAAGCCCTTCACGGCCTAGGACCCTCGTACCTACGGGACCGCCTCTCCCGGTATGCCCCACGGAGAGCCTCAAGGTCCATAAATAGCAACACCCTAGTGGTCCCGGGCCCTAAGGAAGTTAGATTGGCTTCAACCAGAGCCAGGGCCTTTTCAACTCTGGCTCCGGCCTGGAGGAATGCTCTGCCTCATTAGACCAGGGCCCTGCAGGATCTGATATATTTCCACAGGGCCTGTAAGACAGAGTTGTTCCGCCTGGCCTTTGGCTTGGTGCCAATTTGATTCCCTCCCTTTCTTTCTTTTTTCTTTCCTTCTCTTCCTGCGAGGAGGCTACATTTTAATATTTTAATGTTTCAATATTTTAATGTTGTATTTTAATTTTGTTTTTAAGTTGTAATCATTCAACTTGTTTTTATTATTGCTTGTAAGCCGCTCTGAGCGCGGCCTTGGCTGGGGAGGGCGGGGTATAAAATTTATTATTATTATTATTATTATTATTATTATTATTATTATTATTATAAGCTGCCCTGTGATCTTTGGAGGAAGGGCAGTAAAGAACAGCAGTAAAAAGAGGAAGCCCTCTTGCATTCAAGGGGGGGGGGTTGAGACAAAGTCTCTGACCAGCATGCATAGCAGGATGGGCTTAGGAGGGAAGAATAATAATAATAATAATAATAATAATAATAATAATAATATAAATAAATAAATAAATAAAAACTGTGTTGCCTCAGCCACTCTGGGCGGCTTCCAACAAAAACACCAAAATAAAAACACCAAACATCAAAAACTTTCCTATATAGGGCTGCCAGCAGAATACTTCCATTTTGTAGAAATGGCCTTTGAATTTAAAGAAATGCCCTCTTTAAGGAATCCCATGGTGTAAACGTGTATGTTGTCCTCTAGGTCCAAACACATAGTAAGAGCAAGCAGTGCTCCAAAGTGCTTCTCTTGTGAACTTGCCATCTAAGTTGTTTACTCCTGACCAAAACTCCTGTTTCCCAAAAGGACTTGGGGGGGGGTCTCCTCACCACTTTTAACTCCCCCCACTCCCACCCCATGGAAGGCAGAGGACGTGTTCATTCACAATCCCAGTAAACCATGTGTGTATCTGAAGTGAACCAGGCGCTGCAGCTCCTTCCCCCCTCACTGGGCTGCAGAGGAGGAAACGGATGGGTTTGAAGGCTCTTCCTGCCTCTCTCCCCTGTGCAAAAAGAGCAAAGGGTGTTTGCAGGGCAGGAGGGCAGAGGAGGAGGCAGCGAGGGCAGAGGGAGCAGTGGGCGGATCTACCGCCTCTCCCAGGGGGTCCAGATGCAAGCAAGGGGCTTCCTTCTTCTCCATGCAAGGGCCACCCATGTATTCAGAGCAGTCCTTTGCAGATTAACTCTTAAGTTCCATGGGGTCTACTCTCAGGCCACTAATGTGCATACCATGCCAGCCTTAAGAAGGGAGGTGGGACAGGCAGGTGAAAGGAATTGCCAAAGGTGTTTGAAAATGGGTGGGGGCTCTTGGGAAGGGGATGCCCAGTTGGGGCTTCTCCAGTGGCAGCAGAATGTCTTGGGCAGGAGAATCCCTGCAGGGGCTCTCAGACTCCCTTGGCTTCTTCTTTTTCCCTCCCTCCCAGGAAGCTGCAACTTGCTCTGGATTCTGCGCTCCTCAGGAAGCTGAAGCTGCAAACCTAGCTGAGACTGAACCTGCAACCCTGGCCAGGATGGAAGGAGGAAGATGGACGGCTGACCTGGTCAGGCTGTCTCCCGCATCCCTCCCCACAACCTCTGAGCATTCCCTCCCAGGACCCTTGGAGAAATCTGGTGAGTTCCAGGGAAGAGGAGATGGGGAGAGGGATAGATGGATGGTGGAGGGAGAAAGAGGAAAAGATGGAGAGGAGACAAATGGAAGGAAGTTCCTGACAGGAAGAAGGAAGTTGTGAGGCCTTCTCCAAAGCAGCTCTTTGTTTCTTGAATCCCTTTCATAAAGTACAGTGGTACCTCGGGTTACATACGCTTCAGGTTACAGACTCCGCTAACCCAGAAATAGTACCTCTGGTTAAGAACTTTGCTTCAGGATGAGAACAAAAAACACGCGGCAGCAGCAGGAGGCCGCATTAGCTAAAGTGGTGCTTCAGGTTAAGAACAGTTTTAGGTT